TGGACCTGATGATGCGGTTGTGAAGCAGTAGAAATATTTTCACCTGTCTTATCAGTGATAGGTTCTAGGACAGGCTGGGTCTGAAGAAACTCCCTCTCCCCCACGATAAGAGGTTCCAAAGACGAGGGTTCTACAACTGGGGATTGAATAGTTGTCAAATTGCCTGTCTGATCAAGAGGAGATAGAATCACAACCTCTAGCGAAACAGTTTGCTTTTTTGGTCTGAGTTGGGAGTGTAGATGGTGACGTTGAGAACTGGAGTGTCCGAACATACGACAGTTCGAACAATACGATGGAAAATATTCAATCTCTACCTTCTGCCAATATCCCTGGTATTGTGTGCCTAACCAGATTTCCTCAGATGCAAGTGAAGTGATGTCTCTTTCAACAAGTATTCTAACTTCAGAAGGACGAGACAAATTAAAAGTAGGAATGTCCGTCTTGAGTGGCTTCCCTTAAGCTGAGGCAATAGAGTACAATACTTTTTGAGAAAAATAATGAAATTTCAGACCAGGGAGACGTATCCAAATCGAAATGATTGGCAGTTCCGTCTGTGGGTCAAAATCCGTAGGCCATTTCAGAATCTTCATTGCTCTGTTATCAATCCATATTATTCTTTTAGCAAATAAACGCATGTAATCTTCTTCATTACTAATTTGAATAAGAACGTGTCTCCCATCTAATAATTCAATTTTCCATTCTCTAACAAGGTGCATAAGTTCAAATTCTTTGCGAATGAGCTCCATTTTGGGATGTCTATATAGAAATTTCCCAACCAAATTCAGATGACAGGAGGAAGCAAGTTGAATACCTTCAGCTTCTGTAAAAAATATGACAGGCTTCCCATTTGTGACGGATTTCCCATTCTTTCTACCGGGTTTCTTGACGTCCTCTGCCCACTCAAACGAAGGAGGGAAAGACGATGATTTTGGTGTGCCTGAGGCGTGGACATCGACAAGAGCAGCTGCATATGATTTGTCCGAAGTCATCCTCTAGGACAAACCTTTAGAGAAGAAAAAACACTGGAGGAGGGTGAGCGCAGAGAACACAGGAATCAGAGCAGTTCTCGAAGTTCCGAAAATAGTTGTTGGCACTTTGGGAGGAGATTTTTTGCAGGCACAGGGAGGAGATTTTTTGGAAGCAGGACTTGGAGATTTTCCAATCTCAAGTTGATTCACTGCGGGACAAATTATTGGAATTAAAAGTCGGCATTCAACGCTCAGAAAATGTTGCAAAGAGTGAGCTGGATCTTCTTTGTTGTAAGGTAGAGAGCAACAAGCAAGGATAGTGAACGTCGGATAAAACCTTGTGCTATCGATCAAAAACTTTTCATTCTTCTAAAATCATTGATTCCGGCTTTTTGGTGATTCTATCTAGTGGCAAATACATTCTCTTTTGATACAATACATCATCAATTTATATTTTTCAGAAATAAAATTTCGAACCATTAAATTTCTCTATATTGTATCTTACTTCGTCGACCATCGCTCCCATTCGAAACAAATATCTTCAGAAAATCTCTTGCGATCCCACTTGTTATGCAGTGAGATATATAACACGAAAATAGATTTGAGAAATCCGAAACAAAACTCTAAGCATAAGCGCACAAACGGAGAAATTACAGAAAACACAAAAAACACAGATTTTACGTGAAAAAAAATCTAAAAACAGGAAAAAATCACGGAATTACACTACACTAAGAAATTCACTGTGAAAAATAAGGAAACTTGTACAAATTACACCATAATTAAGCTTCTCAATATTTTGGAACTCAAGAACACTCATCTTCTTTCTCACACAAAAGAACTTCGAAATCCAACCCTTCGATGTGTGCAGACAAGCACAAAGTTTTGTAGAGAAGCCAAAGACTTAAAGTCTCGAAGTTCTGAAATAGTTGTTGGCACTTTGGTGCCACGCATGAGCAGGTTTTTAGGTGCTCGGGTTCAGAATTGGTCCGGGTAAGGCTGTGTGCCCCCCCCCCCCCCACCGCAATTCCTTGCTTTATGTTCCAGAAGCATGTTGTTGGGTTCTTAGACGCCCCCACTGGCTCCTGAGCGCCACTCTAAACACCGAGGCACCGCTCCAAACACTGGGGCATCTCAACTTTCCACAATCATGCTCTACATATAACATTATGAACCCAAGAAAACATTATTAGAACAAAAGAATATTTTTGGCATAAATGCAACCCATTTTACATATTATGTATTCAACATTATTAGATAAATTATTGGTGAAGAAGGTGGTGCTATTATCATAATATGTGTATCATAATATAATATTTTTCATCACAAGTGAAGTACTTTTGGTTGGTATCATTGATCTTCTCATTGAATTAGGCTACGAGATGATTTTCTAGACTTACTAAACTACCACATCCTACTCCTGAAGCATTCAATTGATGCTCGAAAATTTTTTATAAATTCAAGAACTCTAAGCTTGAGGGACTCTTATCATTTTAACACTGATAAATTAAATGTTTTAGTGGTGGTAAGATATAGTTGAAACTTATCTTGCTTCAGGATGTCTTTTAGACAAACAATAATGCAGCTATAAGTTGAGCTATAAAATGTTTACATAACAGACATTACAGTACATAACACATAAAACTGACAATTCACTAACAAAACTAACATCACAGCTTCAAACGATTCTTCTATGCATGTAACAATTAAAATTTGTGGCGTACAAACTAAATTCATTTCTACAGTCAACGAGATGAACGGATTGATATTGAAGTTTTGTTTTTTTTTGTGGAGTTGTGGATGGGCACATGCATGGAGCTGGATTTTTTTTTGGTATTTCTTATATGCAGCCCGCAGGGAGTCTAAAAGAACAATCTGTGACGCTAAAAATTTTGCTTCTAATGATCTTTATAATAGATTAGATACTAAGGAGAGTGAAAAATATATGTAAACTAGCCAAACAAAAAGAAAAGAAAAGTAAAGATTTAACTCAAGTAAAGTATATTAAAGATGAAAATCAAAACGTGTTTTTCTTAGAAGAAGATATTCAACATAGGTGGGTGAGTTATTTTGATAAACTTTTTAATGAAGTTTTTGAAAATATGATCGACCTTAGTGATATTAATATCGTTAATAATAATAAAATGTTTCATTTTTATCGTCGCATTAGTAAAAAAAGAAGTAGATGAGGCTTTAAAGAAAACCAAGGGTGGAAAGTTTGTAAGACCTGATGATATTCCAATTGAAGTATGGAAATATTTAAGACACCCAGAAGTTTCCTGGCTTACTATACTCTTTAATATTATTTTAAAACCTAAAAGATGCCTGAGGAGTGGAGGAAGAGTATTTTGGTCCCCATTTTTAAGAATAAAGGAGATACACATAAGTGTGCAAATTATAGAAGAATTAAGTTGATGTGTCATACTTTAAAATTATGGGAGGGGGTAATTGACATAGGTTAAGACGTACAACGATTTCTCATAGTCAATTTGGATTTATGCCGAGCAGGTCAACTATGGAAGCTATACATTTATTGAGAGGTTTGATGGAGAAGTTCAGAGATAATAAGGAGAATCTACATTTAATTTTTATTGATTTAGAAAAAACTTAGGATAAGATTTCAAGAGATATCCTTTGGAGAGTTCTTGAGAAGAAAGGTGTTGATATGAACTATATTCAAGTCATTAAATATTCATATACTAGAGTTGTTACTTGTGCTCGAACAGGAGGATTGACCAAATATTTTCCTATTTCTATTGGATTACAACAGGGATCAATTTTAAGCCCATATCTTTTTTCTTTAGTTATGGATGGTCTTTTTGGACATTTACAGGAGGATGTACCTTGGTGTATGCTTTTTGCTGATGATATCCTTCTCGTGGATAAGACGAGAGAAAAATCCCAGGAAAAAAATTGAATTATGTAGGTCTACATTGGAGTCTAAAGGCCTTCATTTGAGTAGAACTAAAACAAAATACATGAAATGTGATTTTAGTAGTAGTAGCTCTAGTGACAGAAGTGTAACTTTAGGTGATCAAATTATTAAAAGTTGTGAATGATATAGATATCTCGGGTCTGTTGTTCAAAGCGATGGTGATATAGATGGGGATGTTAATAGTAGAATTCAAGTTGGTTGGTTGAAGTGGAGGAATGCTTCGGGCCTTATGTGTGATAGAAATAAGTACCACTTAAATTGAAAGGAAAATTTTATAAGACGGTGGTGAGACCTGCAATGCTCTAAGGCGCTAAATGTTGGCCTTTAAAAGAGAAGCATAATATTAAGTGTTGCCGAGATGAGAATGATTAGGTGGATGAGTGGCTTAACACTTAGAGACAAAATGCGAAATGAATATATCCGTGATAGGGTTGGTGTAGCTCCTGTGACAGACAAAATTAGAGAAATCGTCTTAGATGGTTTGGTCACATTAAACGTCGACCATTTGATGATTCGATTAGGAGAGTAGATGTTTTGGATTCGATTTATGTTAAGAAAGGCAGAGGTAGACTTAGGAAAACTTGGGCTTATTGTATAAAAAATGATCTTAATTTATTAGAACTAAATGAAGATATGACACTAAATAGGACGCAATGGAGAAAAAGGATTCATGTACCGACCCCACGTAGTGGGATTCAGGCTTTGTTGTTGTTGTTGTTATTTCTTATATGTAGCATAATTTTGTGTGATAGTTTTTTGATAACCAAGATAGAAACAACTTATTACCAAAAAAAAAAAAAAAAAGGAAAAAAATGTAAACATGCAACTCCAATAGCTTGCAGTCATTTGTATATGCTGTGCCATTGATCTTTAAATGCTTAGAGAATTGTCCCATGAGATTAGAGTATTTGTTTTATTTTTATTGACTGAGTTTTGTGCTGTTAAAAATATTTAACATAATTATTATTTTTTTGTTAGTTAAACTTTCCCTTTACAATTTTTTAATTTTTCTTTATTTTCTTCTTTTATTAATTTTCTTCATATTGGTCATTTATTTCCATTTCTTTTGTTTGAAATTTATGATGATTCTTGGTTGACAGGATTGCTCTTCAATTATAGCACTACCTTCAAGAATCAAGAGAGTATTTTATTTGTCAAGTGAGGGTAGTAACTTGTTGCATGAGGTTGGTCAGTGTTCCTTTTCGAAGATACGCCTAATTTTTTTTTCCAAAAAAATAATTGCTTTTATTCTTTATGATGCTTTTAACATTTTACTTTGGCTATGCTCCAATGAAAGATTAGAGGTAAATGAAACTATGTTTGAGAGCTTGTTTAAGCTTCAATTTAATGTGTGGCTATTCTCATAGTTATCTTTTGAAGTTTTGGAATATTTTTAAAAATAAAAATTGAAAGCTACAAAAACTGGTAAATTAAATATATAAAGATTGTAAGTATGTGAGACCTTCATACTGTCTACAAATGCATATTTTTTGGTCTAGAAGCAATAAATTTCATTTTTGTACCTATCAAAAGCACCAAAATATTTGTTTTATCATCTTGTAATATTTTTGCTACTTGGGCAAGGTGCTTTTTCTATACAATAAAATCCAATTTTGTTAATAATAGTAATTCCTTAAAGATGGATCATCTTTTTATGAGTAAAACGGGGAGGCGGGGAGAGGGGGGTGGGGGGGGTGGGGGCGGGTGGTGTGTGTGTGTGCGCACCATTAACGAAAGGAATTGCTTCAGAAATAATGATGTAAGGTAAGAAAGCTTTTCATGCTGCCAGTTAAAGAGAGAACAAAAAAATTGCACAAGCTAAACTAGAGTTGTTATTTTTAAAGGCCTCTTTGTGCAAAGTTTCCTAATAACATTTAGGCATTATGTAATTTTGATTATTTTTGCTTATTACCTGCAACTTTTTCAGCATTTGATTTTCTCTCTTTGCTATTTCGAGTTCATTTTTCTTCTAGGACATTTTCCATGATAGTTATCCCATTGTATCTTATTTGCAGATCTTTCCTGAAGTTAACTCGAGTGTTCTGGAGCAGTTGAGTACTGTGGATTGTATTGTTTATTCCATGGGCTCCCTTTTCACTTCTATCTGCCCATCACTGGTAATAGCTCTTTTGGGTCTCCTCATTTTACGTTCTCATCTTTCTTTTATAGCATTGTAGATCCTGTTTGTCTTTTTGAGTGTGATGGCTCTGTTCTAAATGTTTGACATCGCAGATGCTAAAACATTTTATCCGAAGATGCGCCTAATTCAATTTTACATTACAATTTCTTGAGTTATAAATTTTTCTATTACTTTTGGAAGATTTTAATTAATTATTCTTGTAATATCTTAATTTTCCTAAATCTACTCCAAAAAATTAGGTCATCTTTAATGATGTTGATCAAAATGACTTGATAAAGTGCATCTGTTGAACTCATAGATAAAACCCACTTAGGTTAATCAACCTAAATAAAGTTATTAATAATTTAATTAATTAACAATTGAATTCACCTAATTTATCAAAATTTCCTTTTTGTGGCATTTTGTTTAAACTTTTAGACTTGATTTCACCACTACTTCCCTTACTTTTCACCCAATGATGAACCCGAACTATTGTTATTGCAACTATCATCACCTCCACTCTTCTTGGTGCATATTCCTAGATATATTGCACCTGAAAGTTGCTCGAGCACCACCCTAACCATCTTTGAACTTTTCAAACTTGCTCATACTTAACTAGTGGCTAAGCCATTGCCATAGCTTGAAAGCCCCTATAGTTTTCACCACCTCACAAGTTCCTATATATACACTCCAAGGACTAAAAAGTTGCCCCTTTTTTAACGACATCTTTAGGGCGCCTAGCTCTAAAACCTCCACCTCTCTAACTTGACCTTCACTTGCTCCATCGAGCTTCTATTGCTATGGTGCTTCACTCTGTCTCCAAGCCTCTCTGATTGCTATTACAAGCAACATGCATGAATTGCTCATGGATGAGCCACATCGCTAGCACTTGGTTAAAGTTCTCTAGTTTGGCTAATAAGAGCCATCATATGACATCTTGATCCCATATCATTTAATTTCTCATCTGTTTTTATCAATGTTCCACAACATGACGTGATACTTAACATGCTGCAGTATGTCTTGTTTGGCATGACAACAACATATTAGTGTATTCATTTTCATATTTCAATTGGCATAATCTCCAAACTTATTGTAGATCACTTGAAGGGTCTGTTTGGGGTAGCTACAACTTATTAATAAGCTGTTGCGCAGCAACGACCGCAGAAAACTGCTGTACAGAAGCTGGTGCGAATAAACTGGCTAGTTGTTTGTTTATTGTTGTTTGAAAATAGCTACAACACAGCTCTTTCTGGACAAATGACTATTCTGCCCGTGTAGTAATACTGTTTGCAACAAAACTATTATAGCAATATATTTGATACATTAGAAGCAAAAACCCACTTCAAAATAGTGAAAAAAATAAGATATACATCTCACTTACAGTGAATTTCATCTTTACTAAAATAAAGAAAAAAACTATTAAAATAACATTTAATAATATGATAATATTATTTTTAAAATGGAGACGATGTATGTCATGAACTAGGCCGCCCTCTAGTGATACTATCCATTCCCGATCACTCTCGGCAATGGAATCTGTCTGCTTGTTTGCCCACTAGAAGAAGTCACACTTGTCTGTGGTTTTTTGCGGGCACCTGTAAAACTGTCTCCCGCAGCTATGTGCCTGACATGACGTGAGCAGGAAAATTTATAATTCGCAATGGCATAACACTCATCGGGAGGGCCCTGAAATCCTTGAACTCATCTTTCCTGAATGCTTCAAAAGACAATCCATTAGTTATAGTACCAGCATAAATTGATAAAAGAAGTAATCAAATACAGTTTTGTGTAAAGAAGAGGTCTCAGAGGACTCAGTATACCAATCAACGAATCTGTCACTACAAGAAGACAACAAACCTTATAAAAAAAGTTCTTGGTTGTCTTTAACCCACGTAATACCAAACTCGTATGTGTCACAAATGCTTACACAAAAAAAATGTCATACAGAAGAAGCTCAAAAGCCGTATCGCTAAAAAAAAAAGGAGAGGAACTTGGTTGCCTTCAATAGGATTTCACATGTGACAAGAACCAATACCAACAATTAGGTCATCCAGAAGAACCCATAAGGTCTAAAGTCTTATCATAGACCTTTCAAACGCACCAAAAGAAAAACAAAAGAAAGGAAAGAAGGAAAAAAAAACATTTACAAATGCATGAGAAAATTCGAACAATGATAATCAAATGTACAGGGAATGCAAATAAATGTGTTTATAATAAAATAACAGAAATTGATAGATGAAGTGATTAATTACATTTTTGAGTAGGCGCGAGGTCTCAAAAAATTCAAAACACTAACTAATGAATCTGTCATTACAAGAAAATATCGAACCTTGTAAAAGAAGGGTTCTTGGTTGCGTTCTCCATCATGGGTGTATCCTTCTTGTGATTTTACTTCTTGCTGTGATATTGATTGTCCTATATGATATTCAAATGCTTCAGGCGGGACATGCAAATGATTATCGTTAGCCATGCTGAAGTCTACATCAGTTCGAGAATGATGCCGTCAAATATAGTTGTGGAGAGACATTGTAGCTACTATAATCTGCAACAACTTCGGGAATAGATTTGTCGGCATATCACGTAGTATGATCCATTTTCTCTTCTACACTCCAAATGTTCTTTCAATTACACCGCTTAAGGAGTTTCTCATGTTAAACATTTCTTTCTGGCCCGGGGCAACACGGCTTGATCTTTCAAAATCAGAGATGTGATATTTTGTATCTTAAAATGACTTCAGACACCCTCTTTATAAGGGATATCCAATATCAACTAAATAATATTTATATGTTCCAAGTATATTTATTAGTAATGAACTTAAAAAATATCTGAATATTATTAATAATTGAACAAACCTGGAGGTGGGTAAGGGAAGTTAGCATTCAATTTCTTGTCGCAAAAGTGAATATACGACTGTCATATGCACTGCCTTCCAAGCAGCCATAATAAAAGTGAAGCACATATTGAAATCACATATAACATTACATTTTGTGCTGAAGAATCACACCGCCCAATGAATGCGTCCTTTTCATTATTGGATACAGGTGTGTCCACATGGGTTCCATCAGCAACTCCAATATAGTTCTGACAAATTAAATTAAGTTGTATTAACTACGCAACTCATTTTGTCTTTTGAATATAAGGAGTAAAAAATTTTTTTTACTTGAAGAATGACATATACCGCAGGTTATTTATAATCTTTGTTGGAGTCCTCCCGAATGTTGGATCCTCCTACATAATAATCTGTGTCAACAAACTAACAAGAGCCTTTAATCCCACTGAGAAATATCTACTGATTGTCTCCGATGAATGTTGAAATCACTCCATCACTCCTCTCATTGATTTATTTTGTGATAAGATGTAGAGGATTATTGCTAACACCTCTCTAGTTATCATTCTTGAGAAACTATGAAGTCCATGGTTCCTATGTAATTTATCAAGCAGATCCATATATATAGACTGTCATTTGAAACATGTTGCTGAATCTTGTAGGGTATCATTATAATAGCTCCTAACCAATTTATCACCAAAATAAAAAAAATGTCACATGGGGAGTTCATTCAACTATGAGTTGTATTATTCATACAACATACAAACTACTATCACAATTTTCCTTTCGCGCCTCTCTCTTTGTCAATCCAAGCCAAAGAAGTGCTTTGTTCATGTATTACATGTCAATGAAACAATGTTGAAAATATCGAAAAACAAATTAAAAAGCCGTACAAAGAAGACATAAATACAGAAAAACATATAGATTGATCGTACGAGAAAGAAAAACATCCAAATCAAATATTCGATCAAACTACAGGAAAATAAATACAAATATTTCAACGGTTACAACACAAAATCAATCAACCTTGCTGCAAAAAAAAAGCGTAAATAATTGACCCTACGGTTAGCGGCCATCTTCATGAAGATTTGTCTACGGGTCGGGTCTTCCAGCAACTTCAAGGAGTTAAAGTATAAAGACATGTCCTAAAAAACTTCGGGAGTTGCCTTCAGAAGTCGATTAGTCCCGTCATGGAGGTGGCATTGGAAGTCTCAGGATCACTCGTTCATGAAGCCACCAATTTTGTTATTTAACTTCTGATGAAAGTAGCTCTTTCTTTCTTTTTCTCCACCCTAGGACCCTTTGACTTGCATCTGGTCTCCAATTCGTTTTAGTTTGGGCTTGGACTTTCACCGGAGCCAGTTACATGTCGTCATTTAAGTTCTGTGATATGCTTGCAAACCCTTGCTCACTAGGAGTCCAGGCATGAGTCCCCGTTGCCACAACCTCACAGAACATACGGTCCAATTTTCTTCAAGATCAGGGTCAATTCCACTGAATTTGAATTTCTTGGCGGCTGGCACAACCTGCAATGTACGGGCAAGTTGATTACTTCATACAGTTAAGGAAGAGAAAGTAATGGAAATAATGTCTTTAAGTGATTAGTTATCTCCAATTTCTCAGCACATCATTCCTCCGAAGCATTAGTAGTCCATTTGATTGGATCTCAACCCAAGCCCGTGAATCCCCGTTTTAATTTATTCCATAATTTTCAGTCTTTTTTTCAACAGATCCCACTTGTTTTTAAGTACAACATGTTGTATTCTCTTCTTGTCATTTTCTTGAATTTTTTTATAATATTTTGTCGCTCTTCCTAGTTTAAATAGGTGGTGGGCCTATTTCCCTTAACCTTTTTAAGATAGAGGTCGCAAAATATGAGTTTGGCTTCTCTATCCCATATGGTTGATGAACTAACTTTTTTAGTTTTAACTATTACGTTACTAACATAGAAAAAGCAAAGTATTATTGTTTGACAGCAACCAAAGCACACAACACAGCAGGACCCACAGTCACCCATACCACAACCACCACACACATCCCATAGCCACGACACCACATGACACAACCCCCCTACAAACCACCCAACCCCCAGCATAGCCACCACAATCCACAACACGGCTACCACAACCCATAGCACAACCACCCAGCCTAAGGCCACCACACCACACCCT